TTGGTGACCCTTTTGCTGGCAAAAGCGGTACCACCCACAGCTCCAAACTACAGAGTATGTGGTGATGGGTTATCTAGGGTTCGTACCATTGGCACCTCTTCCCTCAGAGAAGCAAGGGGCCAGACACTCCAGCCATGAGGTTAGTGCTTCTGCCAGAAACCAGAATTTTGGAAGGCAAATAATGATTTAATAAAGGGTTTCTTTTCCATGTTCAATAGCACAAGACATGGGAGGCCTCCAAGTCACTGACTCCAGTTGGTGACTCCATGTGCATAGTAGTAGATAGGTTCTTCCTACCCCACCCAGAGCTCTGAGCCCTTAACGTATAAAGAAGTTTCAGTTGTGTTAAAAATAGTATGGAGGGCATGATGGATCCTAACTCATCCTAGCAATTGCGACTTAGTAAAAGGACCTTGGAATTAGGGTTTTCTGTTCTTAAATAATGAAAGTTGATACTCACATTGAGTCCATCTTCTTAGAACTAGGTTGAAGCTACCTCTAGCAAGTATCTTCAGGGGAGCAATCTGGTTTTTACAAGTATGGTATGAAAGAGAATGACCAGATACTCAACATGAATCTTTTCTCTGATAGCTGTGATTCCATGATAACAGGATTTGTGGCTAGCTGTCATGAAACTGGTAGATGAGCTTCTCCAGGCTTTGTTGTACTGTACGGTCTGTTCTGCAATTCCTAATCCTTCTATGTCCATCTCTATAGTAGTTTCTGGGTTCAGTGATCAGTCACATATTCCATGCAGTTCATGAAGCATTTTTGGGGATCTTCAGAAATGAGCTGCCTGGGAGCTTTCTAGGCCAGTTAGGGTGAAAAGTACAGGATGGAGTTGAAAGCTGAGAATGAGCAGTCAGGTGTGTGTTTTCTGTGTGCAGGCAGTTAGTGGCACTAACTTTTACTGGCTGCAGAGTTTTTCCTAGGAGAGGTTTACAATCTCTGTGCTTTTCTGTTCCTGATTTACAGTGCATCAGGGTGTAAATCAATTTAATTGTAATTACTGTTACAAAGTGGAAAGATTGCATGATTTTAATGTGGTTTAAAACTTTCACTTCCCTCTGTCTCTAGCATTCATCTGTTGTCTGCTGACTTCATCTTAATCATTTAAAGATGTGTTGCCTGTGCTTTGAGTCTGTGAATCTTGACTTCTCTGCAATTCAGAAAAAAAAATGTACAGTTTTCTTGTACTTTTCCTTCTCTGTTACACTTTCAATTCTTGTATAATTCCTTTTTTCTGCTATTTTTTGTTCCTCCCCAGAATGAAAGGGTTGAACAATCTAATCTGCTTCTCTTGAAAATAACTTGCTTTCATTTCCTCCTCCAGCCAGGGAATAGTTTGGAAAGGCTGTTCTCTGGACCCTTGGCCGAGCAGGAGGAGGCAGCCAGCTGTGCTACTTGCCAGGGGAACAGGAGCGCTTCCTGGCAGAGGTGGGGCGAGAGGAACAGAGCCTGTGCCGTGGGACTTGCTTTCATCTCCTCACTCTCTGCAAGGCAGCCCTTGAAATTTCCTGACCACTTTTAGCTCTTCCAGTTAGAATAGCTGAGTGAGGCCCACTCACTTAAAAATATGTATATATGAAGGAGAGCACAGCTTGCTCAGATAAACAGCGAGAGATTAAAAACACTAATCTGTGCAGGACAATCCAGTGCAAGTTTCTGTGTGCAATTTTGAATACCCTGTGGGAGTAGGTGGGTGCTCCCACATACTTGGCCACCATCACCTGCTGTGAGCCCCCTTTTTGTGTGATCATCCACATTTGTTTCTTCTGTTAAGAATAGGATCTAAGTCTACGGTTTATCCTAATCCATTATATTTAGCATATTTAGAGTTGGATGTGCTGTAATGTTGCGATTCCTTTTTTTTTTCCTTTCCCGAAGTTCTGGGTGTGTTGATATGTGTGGGTTTGGTTTTGAAACTATGAGTGTTTCAGAGTACTTGAGCCCTGTTGCTGAGGTGAGCTCTTGGGGCAAGAGGAGTGCTTCAGAATTGCATCTGGCTTTGGACACCTGCAGACAGGTTGCTGCTTGCAACCCTGCAGATGCTTTGCTTGGAGTATTCTTTGAAATAAAACTTTGTAGGTTTCCTACTAAAGCCTAAGTAAATTTAATTCCTTGGTCTCCATTGCTGGGACCTTTGTCAGAAATATATAGGTGAGAAGACTTCTCTTTTAAGCCTCCAGGAAAAAGTTTGGAAGCATCTATCATCTTTTGTGGGTTTATCACAGACATATTTAGGAAGATGTCCCAGTGTGAAAATGACTCCCATGAAGAAGGCTTTCTCTTACTTCCCTCAAGTCTAACATGTCTAAATCTGTCAGTGTTTGCTTGCCTTCTTCCTAAGGCACTTCAGAGATACCTAGAGATGCCATACATTCGCATGGCGTCTTCATAAATGATACATTTCTTTGTATCTGGACTGGTTCAGCATTTACCATGAACCTTAAGTGAAGTCAGCAAACAGTGAGGGGTTCCTGGCTTGACCTAAATTCACAACTGACAACCACTGGTGACAAGCGGTAGCTAACCTGAGAAGCTGATCACTGCACTTGCATCAATAGCAATGGTAAACCTCAAAGCAGTACGAAGTCTCGGTGTCATGAGGAAACTTCTCTCATCCTCCCATGCAGTTTTTCCAAGGTGGAAGAAATAATTTGTTTGAAATATGGAAGAGGCTTTGTTTTATCTGCCTGAATGAAAGCCTGTGTACGGTGAGATGAGCTTTACAAACTTCTTGTTTGGATTGTTATTATTCACGATCCTCTGGTTGGATGCAAAAATTGTTGGTGGCTGACTTGGCTAAAAGCAGTCAATACCGTCAAGAACAAATCCATCATATGTGCTGGACAAATGGCATTTGCTCCACCAGAGTCTTTCTGTTAAGAATTCATGTCTCTGACTGGGCATTGGAAAGCCTGTGAGTGCTTGAGATCTTTCTGCCTTAGAGACTTTGTTAACCTCAAGTAAATACCAAAATACCCATCTTACTTTTAGTGTTATGAAGCAGTGGTACTGTTTTTGGGTACTGACAACTAAGCGGGTAGGCATGAGCACTCTTCATTCAAGGGCATTGGCAGGTATTCTGTGTTGTTTATAATTTTTTCATCACTTTTGACAAGGAACTTAAAACTTTTATTTGATGTCACCGAAGGTAAAAATCTGTATGAAAACAGGCTTGTTCTTCTGTGCCGGAAAAATAAAGAAGTTCACTATGGATATTCCTTCTTTTTTTTTTTTTTTTCCCCTTTCATGTTATTGAGAGGTGCTAAGTAAAACATCTATGGGTAGGAATTACCCAACTGGGGAGGCTGTAGCTGCCTGTGTTTAGTGAGGGCTCTCCACAGCTCCTGTAACAGAGATCCTTTTCTTTGCTCCCATTCTGGTCTCTCTGGTGCATCAGCCAACTTTCACCCCATATTGCAGTTGCTGACAGAGAGGTTTTCTGATGTGTGGAGCCAAAGGCCAACCACAATTTGTCCATGTATTTACAGGGATCATTTCACTCCAGTAGAAGTGCAGCCAAATATTTCTTGATAGAAACATGCTGCATCCATCTAACAACACTATCCAATTGAGGCAAAGTGAAGAATGCTGTAATACTTGTGTTACAGTAGTTGCTGAAGTCCCAGTGAGAGATCAGGACCCTGTTGCATGAGGCACTGTTAATCTCACAGTATTTTTCCCAGACCTACAGACCTTCCTGTCTAAACTGGCAAGTCAGATAATGATGCTCTGTGGTATTATAACTTACACTGCAAAAGGCACATGTGTTTGAAACCAGAGACTTTCGTGTGATCTTAAATATTTCTTCACATGATAGTGTTCATCATCTCATCCAGCCTGCTTATCTAGTAAGTGATCGTATATGAGTAATGTAAAAACTTCCTGTGTTCATTCAGTGCTACTGGTGATTTTTTTGGTTTATTTTGTTGTTTTGATTTTTTTTCAGGGCCAGACATTAATCTTGGCCTTACAGCCCCAATAGCTATTATTTCTCATCAGCAGCATGGCGAGTCTGAAAAGAGAAATTAGAGTCAAGAGGATATTTCCCCAGAAGATTACAAGTTATAATGGAGGTCAAACTTTTGGCTTCGGCTATTGGACTGTTTCGCTTTAAACTTGAAATACACATCAATGAAAGCAGAAAGTTTAAAACTTAGCGTGAAATAATGCCAAAGACTAAGTTTAAAAAAAAATCATATCATAATAATTTGACTAAAATTTCGCCATCGCTTTTCAAACTGAATATAACTTTTCAAGCAATATTACAGGCAATCCCAAGATAACTAATCACTAGTGGAGGAAAATGTCATACAACATAGCATCCTAGTCTGGGGAATTCAAGACCAGGGAATGGAGTGTAAGTTATAATTATTTACTGTGTTGTTTTAAGCATGGACTTGATTTTAATACCACAGAGAATTTATTCATTATACTTGTATTATTATGCATTTCAAGTATGCTAGTATAAATTCCTTTAACTTAAGGAGCTGTTATGATATACTGGGATAGCTGCAACAGACTTCCAAGTGCATTACCCAGGAAGCAGAATGCTTCGAAGAAATATTCTTAAAGTTTTAAGTTAATCTGTCTGTATGTCTGTAATTGGTAGCATGTAAAATTCATTCTCACAGGAAGAGTTTCAGAAGCCTGTCACTCACTGTGGATGCAGTGGGAACTTTCTGTGCATGGCAGCTTCAGCTGTTAACACCTTGCAGCATACCAGGTGTGGCTGTGGCCGGGTGGAGGGCACGTCTGTTGATGTTAGTAGAGTTGATGTATTGATCTGCACCCTCTGGGACCTTACATTCATGAATTGATTTGTATAAATATATCTGACTATATATATATAGGTATCAGTAGTTGTATTCATGAAGCTTATTTGGGAACCTGAGCTGTTTGCCAACAGTTATCACTGAAGAAACGTAGAGCTAGAGGGACTTGAAGAGACTTCTCCATTGGGTCCTTCATTAGAAGAGGGTGTAGTCTGTAGCCATGATATTCCAGATAGGTGTTTGTGTAACCTTTTAAAGGCTTTCAGTCACCACCCCACCTCCCTGTGCAACCTCATGTATCATTGTTATCCTTGTTGTCTACTGGTTTTCATGATATCTAGTACAAACTTTCCTTGCTGCAGCTCAGAACTACTGAGGATTTATCCATCATGGGCATGGAAAATTGGTCATTGCCCTGCATTTTGTGGCAGCTGTTTGCATACCTGAAGACTGGTTTTGCATAACACGTTCAGTAACCTCTTTTGGCTGAGCAACCCAACTCATTAGTCCATGTTTTATAGCTCTAGTAATCTCATTCCTCTGCAGCACCTAGTTGGGTAGATGCTTCTGTTTTAACTAGGAACCACTCAAAACTGCTTTCTTGGGACAGTTTTCCAGCCTTGCTGTTTGCTTTTGTCTAGCCCGTATCTCCCTCAGTTTCTAATGGTCTTGTCAGTGTCCAAATTACTGAAGTCAAGATAAATGTTATCTGTGGTTTCTCCTCTGTTTGCAAAGTTTGTTATCCAATCCGGAAGGCAATTCAGGTTGTTTGGACGCTAATTGCTTCTGACAAGTCTATGTGAGTAGTTACTCAACTCCTTGTTATCTTTCAGGTGCCAACAAATTGTTTGTTTGAATATTTTTCCACTCTCATTCTGTCTTTAATTCCTCATGACTTCTTATTCCACTCACTTCCCCTTTTATTGCATTTTTTTAATAGGTAGGATAGATTGCTCTATTGCAATCTTCTGGTATTTGACACTGTACTTGAAATTATCTTTTCATATATGTAAGTGGAATTGATACTAGACGCAATAAGAACCAGTAAAGTAGATAAGGAGTAATTAAATAATTTCTGGAAGATATATTCAAAAGTTTAGGTAAGTGTAGAAAAATGTGCAGGTGTCTACAGTTCTTTGCATGCAAGACTGTGCACTAGGCCTGCATTGCTTGTATAAGAAAGGTAGAAGAATGGAGAGAGGTATTGAATGTCTGTGTCAGAGAGACTGGGCCTCTAGTCATGGTGTGTGTGTGGGTTTACATTGTGCTGTGGCCCTTGTTCACCAACTGGTCTTTTAATTGGTTTGTAGCTTGCTATGTAGTTGGAGAAGTGAGACACAGATTGGGAATCATGTTGAAATACCTTGCAAACACTGCACTGCGTTGCTGGTGGTGTGTGGAAGTCACTTGTCACGTTTGAACAGTGTCATGATCATACCTTTTTTGTTTTCAAAATCAATCTGAGGAATGATGAGTAGTGTTCTCTAGTATCTTTTACTCACAGGTCTCCACAGATACCTATAGAACTCTATCAAATGAGAAGAATAAAGCTCAGCTGTAACCCTCCCCATCTTGCATTATTATTGTGGCTCCTTTTTTAAGATGGAATTAGGATTTGATGCCCTTTCAAAAAATAGAAGTTATGAAAAGAATGGAGAAATTACTCCTAGGCATTTTCTCTCAGGCCTCTCTTTTGAAATAACTGGATGAATTAAGAAGTAACTTTTTCATACTCTTTTCAAGAAATTAAAATAAAGCTGCAGCGTCTTTCTGACTGAGTATACATGATTGGCTAGGTTTGCTATTCCACAGCGTACAGTTGATACATAATGTTCTACATTGCTTGGGCTTTCATTCTTTGGATAGGGACTACTCCAGTATTGTGCCAGCACAGTACCTGGTCCAGGTCTCTGGGACAATGCTGTTTCATCTCCTCTGATTAGTGGAGATTTCCAAGCATTTTTTTCCAGTAGCCTATATTTGATGCCATGGATTATGTTACTTTGCTCATGAGCTTATCCTTTTTTGCATTTCCTCTCTTCCGTTTTGCTTCAAGCCTCAGTGGATCTCTTGCTGTGTCCAAGTGCCCTTCCCTCCACCCTTGGGGTAGCTGGCAAGGAGGAAGAGGGCATTATGTGTTTGCGATGCTTTAGGCAAGTGGTGCCCACACATTAACCAGAGGTGTGATTTATCATGAGTAGGTGTTGTTCACCTAATCTTTAGGTTAGCACTTTGGTAACTTATCTCCAAAATGAACTATTCAGTCTTTGTTTATTTCATCACTCTGGAGCGACTAGATCTCCTTGCTTAGGTCTGACTTCTCTCCATTTTGGCCCTATCCTCGTGGAAAGAGATGTGCAGCGCTGAAGGGAAGAATTTTTTCTGGGTGTGATCCCAGTTAATTTCTGTAGTAAAAGACTTACTTCACCTTTCCCTGCAATCTGAGAGCACACTGTTTTTGCTGCAGTGTTGCAGTGAGAACTCATTTATCTGCCATACACTCTCAACCCTTGTCTTGCCATGTCCTGGCAGTTGAACTATTCTTTAAATTACTTTTTTCTCAGTCATTTTAATATTCGTGTTACTTCTTATTATAGTTTTGTGCTTTCTGGTTTCCAGTAATGCTTTTGTGTATGTAAAAGAACCTATTGTTGTGTAAATTTGAAAATTTAAATAATTGTCACTTGTTATGACTATAGGATGATTAGCTGGTGTCCCATATTTCTCATTTGAATCTGTGATCCGTTAGAGTTACAGTAGCTGTGTATCAGATACATAAAGCCAGGGCAAAGATGTCACCTCTTCATTATGGATGTAATTTGCATGTGCATTTTGAAGTTTCACCTCTGAGATGTGGACCTTTTCCTTTTGATAGAGGGTCAGCCCTGGGTGGGGAGAGCTAGGATAGTCCTGAAGCATACTGTTTTGTGTAAATAGGTAAAATATTTCACTGTCACATGTTCTTTTGGATCAGTGTTTAGAAGGACTGTGCCTCTAGGGCGTGCAGCTGGTGCTTCAAACAAAACACCCAACTCAACAGCAAACTCTTTGGATAGTTCCCTGGTTTACAACCACTTTCCGGCATGATATTCTCTCTGAATATAGTCCTTAAGAAGCTAAAGTATCCTGTGTAATTTGTGTCAGTGTCATATGACTAGAGCAGTAAAGACTTATTTCAGGAGCCCTGCTTCTCTAGGCACAGGTCAGCTGAATGCCTGCAGAACCCCAGCTGTGGGAAGTATGACTAATAATGCATGTAGAGCAGAAAATTTAAAACTTGCTGTGAAGAGCCACCATGGTTTTCATGCTCCTATGAGTTGATGTGTTTTCAAATCATACTTTAGGTTATTCCAAGAAGCCAGTGGTGCATTCCTAGTCTGTTTTGATCTTTAAGAAATGCAGACATTGACTCTGTAATTGCTCTCCATATTCATTATCACAGTCATGGTGTTGTATGATGCAATTTGTGAAGTGCTTTCGCTGAATGTGATCTCTGTCTGGAGTCTGCGTTAGTTTTGGATCCTTCTGAATCATAAATTGTCAAAACATCTTTTTCTAATATTTAGTTGGATGTCATCTTGTTAGTCTGAAACATATTCTTTTGTATTTTTCATTTCTACATGTGCATATATGTGTGTCTGTTTGTATGCACACCTCTTTCTCTAGAGAATTTTGTCTCAAACATTTGTGTGCCCAAAAAAGCAGAAAGTAAGTTTCTTGCAAATATGAAGCCAAATTTGGGGGGTATCATTGTAAAAATTTAAAACAAAATAGGTGAAATTTCAGGTAGAGGAAAAGGGTTGAAATTAATTGAGCAAAACCTGCCATTAAAATAGATTGTTACGTTGTTGTTGTCGTGGTCATACTGTGAGGCTGTTCATGGTGTGTGTCCATACCCCTGTCACTCAGATACCTCTGGTGCAGAACTGTCCTGCATAACAGTTTCGTTACCATGATGTCTCCTTCAGAGTGTGATAAAACTCACCAATAAAAAGAGAATCAGAAATTCAGTCTTGGTAATGTTTATCTAAAAGCCAGTTCTCTGCAAATGAATCTGAAGTAGGTGGCAGCACTAGGAGTGATTGATGTTTGTAGTATCT